ATAAACTAGTCACAAATTTTGAGATGACAGTGCACAGGACTGCACTGCATCACTCCGAGAGGGGTTTCCAATATTTGAAGGTCATTTGTTGCTTAACATCATCAAGATTGTAATGATATTGATAAACAATCGGGAGAAAGAGAGGATCTCATGAGTGCTCTTGCAATGGAAGACGTAAGTACCAAGCGGTCAATTCAAATCAACTTTTGGACGTATGTGATGGATACGCGTGTAAAAAAACTACAAAAATGGCCACCGGGTCACTTTAGTCGCTGTAGAAAAGGCAAGCGGTGAACCTGGAAGAAAAGGAATTACGACTGGTTAGAGCCGGGCGGTTGAGATCAAGTATGGGACGTGTTCCAAGGGAGTTGAGAAAACTACACAAATAGCAACCAAGGGATTCCTCCATGTGTAGCAATTTTAAGGAACGTGCATGTATTCTCAGAAGACAAAAATGGAGGAAGTGTGGAGAACAACGGAAATTCCTGGCATTATTTGACAATTAAAACCAGACAATATGGAGAACGACCACAATGGCCGCCAAGTGATCATAATCATCGCATTCAGAACATTGACGTGGAAGTACTTTCAGCACGAGTGCATTAGACACTTTCTTCTTCGAAAAGAAACTAACGAAGGTTAGTCGACAAGAAACGAAAGCAGCCAGGCTCATTGAGAACTACTAAAATGGCCACCGAGGTTGAATGTACAGTATACGTCTGAGGATGGAAGAGAGGCGAGTCTTGCTCCAGACGGGAGTGTGACTCGGCAAATTTTGTCATCATCTGATTGGCTGCTCTATTTTTAGCTGCCGCCCTCTCCTCCTCCCCCTGCTGCAACATCATCATCATCAAGGATGAGGTTACCATGGTGATGAGAGCTGCAGGGATCAATAATGGGGGGGGTGATCAGTCAATAGGCGACAGTTTAACAAAGCAATTAAAATGTCAGATTAGTGCAATTTTGTGGTGCTTTTCGCTTTGAAAATGGCTCAGGGGCCTTCAAGCCAAATCTCGTCTTGGTCACAACTGCAAGTCAGACATTTTGCCACAGCAGCGAGCGCTGTCCTATAGAACGGCGGTCCTCAACACCCGCGCCGCGGACCGGTACCGGTCCAAATAATTAATAATTCACTCATATAAAGAACAAACAGATTTGTTCAAAGAAAGTGTCAGTCAAAAGTGACCATGGTGGGGAGGAGCGGTGTACCTAATGAAGTGGTGCTTCGAGTTGGGTCTGTCACAATGTTCACTTGCGCTTCCACCATCAACCCGGTGACAAATTTGACACGTTTTCATCCACGGGGTCAACAAGCACTCGGTCGGTCGCGTGTGCTCGCGTGCGTCTGTGCCGTTTGTGTGTTAGTGCGCGTGTTGCTCTCACTCATCTTTACGAGGAATGCGACTCCCGCCTGCTAATTGGCGTCGAGCATCTTTGTCACATTTTTGTTTGAATCGGCACCAGCGCGCTTTTTTTCCCCAACTCTTTTTCACACCGCTCGCACTGACAATTGTCGTTTTTGTTCTTGTCTATTCCACGCCCAAGCATGCCAACACGTGAACTTCGTATTCACGCGGTGAGTAGCGAAAATTACATTTGAAATTCGGCTAATAACATAAATTCTCTCACGACGTCTGAATGATCTCGATGAAATTTGAATGAGGTTTGCATGATTTCCCCATGCCTGGGTGGCTTTTTTCTGGGAATTCTGGTTTCCTCCCACATTCCAAAAAACATGCACGACAGGCTGATTGAACACTCCAAATTGTCCCTCGGTGTGAGTGTGAGCACGGATGGTTGTTTGTCTCTTTGTGCCCTGCGATTGACTGGCAACCAGTTCAGGGTGTCCCCCCCCCACAACAGCTGGGATAAACTCCAGCATGTGAGGATAAATTTGGATGGATACTTTTATAAGCGGATCGAGTCAAACTCGGTAAATAACAACAGAATATTTCAAACTAAAACACACTCACCTCAAGTCCAAAGTGGGGGTGGATGTCAGCAGAAGAAAAAGGACTTGCGAGACCACGTGAATGAATGCTTCCACGTGCACGCTGGTCACCCTGGTGAGAGCCTCACAAGTGGGGAAACGGCGACCAGCTCATTTGTTCTTTGCTCACCACCGGCCAGCCAGAAAGAAAGAAGCACACTAAGCACATGAAAAATGATTTGTTGGTGACAAAATGTTAACAGCGGTTATAAAAAGTCAACACACCCCTGTTCAAATGCCGGCTTTTATTTTGAGGTAAAGACCAATCATTTCAAAGCTTTTTTTTTTTTTCCACCATTAATATGACCTCTAACCTTTACAACTCCATTCATCCATTTTCCGATCCGCTTGACAAGGGTGGGGGGGCAGGGGGGGTTGCCGGAGCCTCTCCCAGCTGTCTTCTGGCAGTAGGCGGGGACACCCTGAACCGGTTGCCAGCCAACCGCAAGGCACACACAGACGAACAAGCATCCGCGTTCACACTCACACAAAGGGACAATTAGTCCATCAACCTGCCAAGCATGTTTTTTTTTTTTTTTGGGGGGGGGGGGGAGACTGGAGTGCCCGGAGAAAACCCACGCAGATACGGGGAGAACAAGCAAACTCCACACAGAGGGGCCGGCGCTGGGATCGAACCCACGACCTCTGCTCTGTGAGGTCGACGCGCTAACCACTGGTCCACCGGGCCGGGGTGGAATTCGTTCATTCTCGCTTGACGTAGCTTCAGCGGTTCAACAGTCCGGAGGCTGTTCGCAGCCGTGTTAGTGTATGCAGCAGGGATGCCGTTTATTGAAAAGAAAAAAAAAAATCCCTGTAAAATAACATCAATTTAATCAGCTAGCCTTCCTAAAAAAATAGACAAGAGCCACGTTTTCATTGGTGGACGTTTTTTTGCGTTTAATAGATAATCCTTCAGCCATCCGGTTGGCCGCCTCATAATTCTGACGACTTCCATGTACAGACAGTATTTCGTTGCAGCCCCTGATCAACATTTGACAGACAGACGGTCACATGAAGTGGCAGTAAAATAAGTTAAAAGACTCTTTCGGGCCTGTGAAACCAGGTAAATAACAAAGCCGCCTCCTTCCTTCAGCCGGCGTGCATGCGTACAGACGTTTTGGGTTTTTCCCTCCCTTTCAATGTGCCTCACTTTGAATGCTTTGGGACCTTAGTGGAGAAGAGGGGGCTATACAATTTCTATACAATAACGGGACATTCATTTGAAATCCAAACAACCAGAACCGGTTGACTCAACAGTGATGATGTTGATGACATAAGCACAATAGTTTCCACAAATGGTGGCGTTGGCCACATGCACGAGAGCCAAGAAGTCGTCCCACGTGCGTCTCTCGCGCTCTCTCATCAGCATCTGTACAAATGACTCAACACGTGACTTTTTGTTGGGGGGTGGGGGGGGGGTGACTTGAAAGCTGCATCAAATAAAACACAAACTAAAACGTTAAATAAGCACACGCGGACTTCATGATGTCGCCGATTTGAGGTAAGCAATCAGGTCCTGGCGCTCGCCCTTCTTCTTGATGCCGGCGAAGATCATCTTGGTGCCTGGGATGTACTTCTTGGGGTTCTCCAGGTAAACCATCAACGTGTCCTCACCCCACACGATTCCTGACAACACACACACACACACACACACACACACACACACACACACACACACACACACATACACACACACACGTTAAATTCAAGTCATGGTCCACTACTTGAACAGCAACAAGGTTGGAGACTGTCAATCAAAATCATCTTTCAGCCATCTTTTGAAAGTGTGCTGACGTATCATCAGATGCTGTTGGCATGCCGCCCGGGGTGGCCAAAAGCTGAGCTCGGACTGCTTTTTCTGTCTTTTTGTGGCTCGTCAAGGAGCAGGATCAACGAGGGGTGTGTTCAGGGACAACTGCATGCCGGAACTCAGGTCACTTTTTACACCTCATCAAATGTAAGCGAAAGGTAAGCCATGGATTTAAAATGTCACGACCAACAGACCTTGACTTGATTATTATTTTAGGCTCTCTAACAGTAGGCCTTTGCCATTAAAGGTTCTGACCACGGGTTTGATTGTAACAACACAAAGGGCAAAACAAATTACGTTTCTACAATACAGGACTTTGGCGCCATCTTGTGGTGTTGAAAAGGACAAAAAATACCAGACTTTTGGTGACAGCAGAGGATGAACAAAATAAAATGCAAAAAAATGGATGAGACATGAAGCGCATACAAGTGGACGATTACTGTAAGCTATCAGTGCTTCATTCCTTCACACTACATCTTTGTCGTAAGTGAGTATCGACTGTTTTTAACGTCTCGATATTAAGTGTCTTGACACTTGAGTTATACAAAAAAAAAAAAAGGGTGCGGTGTAACAATTGCCTGACACCAATCTCATTCGAAGTTCCGACAAGGTGTTTGAATTGGTTTTACGTTTTAACCTGAACGGTGTTGCCACTTGTATGTCATTTAACTTTCCAATCTGCATGGAAGGTCACCCAGCCTCAAAACAAGACTTCTCGTGCCGAACCTTGAACCACTGTAGGTGAATCCAACTGACCAAGCGTGCCTTCTTGTGGCCACTCAGTCTTCTGACGCCACCGTGCGTCCTTTGTAACCCCCAAAGCTTGTTTGTAGGGGGTCGTCAAAAACGGAGAACCTCCTTTCAAAGTCTTCCGGCAGCACACGAATACATCGTTACACGTGAACGTCACAGGGTGCTTTGACTTTTAAATGTTATTGTCAACACACACACGCAATGTCATCGGGCTTGTCAATTCAAGGTCACCAACCAGACATTTGCGACCGACCTTTGCTCTTGTTGGCGTCAGTGTACGAGTATCCCTCCGCCTGGCCCGTCTTGCGGCCGAACAGACCCCACAGGTTGGGCCCCACCTTGTGCTTGCCCCCCTCCTCAACGGTGTGGCACTGTGCGCACTTCTGCACAAACGCCTTCTTGCCTTTCGCCACGTCGCCCATAGTCAGCTGGAATGAGACGGACAAGGGGAACGTGAACACATTCTGCTGTATACGGGTTAAACGACAGTAGAACAGGGTAGGACAAATGGTGGTGCAAACAGCTGATGATCCTGCTCACTGGGCTTTGAGAGGGTTTTTGAATCCTGGCAGTTTCGCACATTGGACTCAAACAGTGAACCAAGGGCAGACAAATGACTTCGTACTGGCTAAAAGAATGCAACGTGAAGACCAAAAAGGACGATCGTGAATGGGCCTGATCTCAAAAGCAACGGCCTGCTCTGCTTCCTTCCTCCTCTGTCCTCTGCACTGCTGGCGTAAAGGACGTGGGAATGAGCCGGCGCAACCGGCACCAAGCACGCGCCGACACTTCTCCATCCACTCGGTCCACGCGTTACGTCACGACGCGACTCGCCGCCCGAGGCCAAAGTGTCAAACGTGCACGAGGGGCCGTTCAAATACGCTACCTTGGCTTTGTCCTTTTAGTCCTCTTCGACTCGGCCGGCGTTAGCTTCTATGCTACTTAGCATTAGCCTCCCCGGTCGTAGCGAATGTATTTAAAGGGCTAATAGGTCAGCAGGTTTATTGTACTCAAAAGGGAGACAATTAATTGTCTTAGCGTAATTCTTAATCTGTGAACTAGTACCGGGGGTGACGTTTAACTCGCGTATAGCTTTTAATTCAGAGGGGAAAAATGGAGGGTGAGCACGTAAAAAGCCGGCTCGCTACCAGGCATGGCGGTTCGCTCAAGGGTGACCGTTAACCTGGCGGGCCGGCGAATTCGAATCCTTTACTGTGAAGACCTTACATTTCATTCAAACATCGGTTTTTTTTTTTCGTTTTCCTCCATGGCGTGGAATATTCCGGAAAACCAGGCTAGCGGTTGGCTAATGTCTGCCGCAACACACTCAAGGATGCTTGAAGGAGTTTGGCCACCATCTACACTTGTTACTCGCCACACTTATGAGGCATGCCCACCCGAATAAAACTCTCTTAGGTGTACTTAATGGAGCACAGAGTGAGCAAAATCCACTCCAAAATATCCAAGAAAGCCATCGAAATGTGTCCGCCGTTCGCATTCATTCGCCTGTTTTCAACAAAATTAAACGCAGCTTTAGCGCAAAAAAATCTAATGTGTTGTGTTCTACTTACGTCTAGTTGAATATGCGATCAATTAAAATGATTTTTTTGAAGCTCCTTTCCGCGACGAGACACGAACGCGCTGTGGCGGTCGCACAGAAGGTCACTCCACTTACGGGTGCCGTCTTATGACGTCATGTAGTCATGTGACGATGGTTTCGTCTCGCGTCTCCGAAGGGCCACGTCTAGTTTCGATGCTTAAATTCTCTTCATGGTCTCTCGTATTTGACAAGCGGCGCGCAGTCGTCGTTGATTGTATCAAAAATTGAATTCGTATTTGGAATGTATTCGTACTTTGATTTTGTGTGAAAGCTGCTCAGTCTTTGTTTGGCCATAAGGGTGTAAGGGAAGTGTACAAAGGAGGCAATAATATGACGTCACATCTTCCTACACGTAACGGGTGTATTCCCAAAACATTTCTTCATGTTACGTCAAGGTGTAATGCTTAAAAAAACGACGTGGTAAACGAATATAGGGTGTTTATTCAGTCTATGTACCATTTCACAAATGGATTTACAAAATGAGATGGATGAGCATATCTGTTGACATTACAAGTGAGTGGTAGTACCGTGTTAGCTGTGACATTGCTTCATTTTTGGTGTCAATGACTCTCAAATCAACTTGTAGAGCACTTTGAAAACAATCATGAAAAGAGGTGTAAATGAGTAAAAATTCATACAAAATAAAACCATAAATGAAATAAAAACAGTAAATACAATAAAAGACTAAAATAATGCAGAGTCGGTGACGTCAGTGAACTTTTACTCCAGGTCATCAATGTGCCGTATAGGGTTGAACATTTGGAAAACCACTGAACAAAATCTCTTTTACTGCATTTGTATAAGTTTTCCTGAAGTATTGTTTGAATGGTTGAATCCATTTGCCAGCGGATGTTAATATGAAAACCAACATTTATGTACATACAATACTGACTGTACCTAATGTGACAGAGAAGCATGTGGACTTGGACTAGAGGTGGGGTGGAAGAGGTCTCTGGTTTCCTGAGTGAGAGATGGACTAAAATAGCGTAGGCCTCTTGTGCACGGAGGTCGCTTCCAGTTCAGTGTCTACCAAGCCAAACAGAATTTGCTCTACCTCGACGTTCATGTTGTCTCTGTATGTGGAAACAGTTATAAGTTGACCCAATAGGACAAATACATTTGCTGTACTGTAACTGGCCTGAGGCTTGGCCACTGCGGTTTAAACAGTAACTTAGACATTGTGGGAAAACACTCATAACAGTGTAAGTGTGGGACAAGGTTATTATAGTTAACAAAAACAAATGAAAAATCAAAAACTAAAATTGAAGAAGCATTTTTTGTTAATGAAATGGAAAAAAAAAGATGAAAATGCTTGAAAAAAACGAAAACAAACTGAAACTACATTTTTTGTTCATAAAATTAACTCAAACTAACAATAACTGAAGCAAAAGTGTCCTTCATTTTTGTCTTTGTCAATTAATATCAAACACGAGCTGTCAGGGTTCATTTTAAATATACAAAGTATTTACCGGTATTTTAGTATTGGTGTAGGTCCATGCAGATGAAAGAAGGTCACACATTTGTTTGAGAATCGTATAATCTTTTTCTTTGTCCTGAAGAATGAGAACCATCGGCTGATTATAAAGGCTGTTTTGCACATGATTCCGAGTTGTATCAGTGATATAAACAAGAGCGTGTATTTTTTTTTCCTTCCTCGTTGTAGTTGAATCATATTATCTGAGGGGGGCAGTAATACGCCACGTAGCCTTTGCACGACTGGAAACAGGAAACAAAGAGGACGCGAAGAAGAGCGCCGCTAATCCAAGATGGACGAGTCGCACACAAACGCGAAGCCAACCCCGGAGAACCTGGACGACCCTCCCAACAGCCGCCTGTTCCTGGTGGCCAGTCGATTCGTCACCGAAGAGGAGCTCCGGGAAAGGTTCTCGGCGTTTGGCGACATCCAGGACGTTTGGGTGGTCAAAGACAAGCAGACGAAGGAGTCCAAAGGCATTTGCTATGTCAAGTTCGCCAAATCGTCTCAGGCCTGTCTGGCTATGGAGGAAATGCATGGAAAAGTCCTGCAGGACGGAAGCAAACCCATCAAGGTCGGAACCGACACCAGCACTCACTTTTTAACCTAACGTATAATTTGCACGTAGGTGCCCGCAAACGATATGCAACAGGCCAGAGATTTAGCGCTTCAGCATGCTAAGAGGCCCGTAGCTGCTGAATATTTCTCTCAACTCCGCAAAGGGGCACAATGGCCAAAAAAAGTCAACACAAAACAAACAAACAACAAAAAAAAACCACAGTGTAGGTTGTATTTATTAATTTATCATAGCGTTGACAGGAAGGAAGTAAACAAGGATGAATGGTAGGATGGAAGATGGGCAATTGCGCGCACATACACTCCGACTTGAACCCCTTCCGATGGCCTCGGCTCAAACTCAATTATTCCAAATGTTACCCTTCCTTTAAAAGTCAAATCCTGTCTTCACATCCCGAGTTGAAACCCGAACTCTGACGTTTTGCTTGATACCACAATTATTTGAAAGCGTTTTAGAATGGACGCAGATCGTGAGAAATGGTGCGTTTTTTTTTCCGGGTTGCAGTGTTGTGGAAAGGTTTGAGGACTGTTCCAAGGTTGAAGGAGTTGATTTCCAGCAGTTATTAAATGTTTCCAATAAACGTACAAACCTCTTTGAAACCGAGAGCGACTCCTTGGGTACTGATGAATGCAAAGGGCTGCCTGTTTGGTGCCCATTTGTGAAGGAGCAAATGGGCACCAAGCCATTTCTGATATTAATCCATGTGAAGCCGCAGATCATGTTAATGATTCTCAGAATAAATAGGAAACTGTAAATCTCTGCCAGTGTTTACATTTTCAAATGATCGCTTGTACAACAGTTGTAGAAAATCACTCCGTCCCACTGGAACCGGGCACCACATTGGTGATTCCTTTGTTAACATGTCTAATAGTTGACTGACTGACTTGGCCCACGCCGTTTCATTTTTCTTGATTGGTTCCAGCAAACAAGTGGAATTTGTCTCCCGTTTCACATCAGGCATTCACATAGCACGCCGACTTTCTCTGAGTAGCGTGTAAAGTGGGTGATAAAAGCCTCTCGGCTAAACTCGAAGGCAACTTCCTCTTTGTTGCGGTAAATCTAATTCCCTTTTATTGATATGAACAGCCCTTTGAAGGACTCGGCCTCTTGGGTCAGACGTCGTCATTGATGAAGAATGAGTGGTAAATGGTTGTCTTGGTGCAGGTGTTTATCGCCCAGTCGCGCTCGTCGTGCAGCCACAGAGACGTGGAGGATGAGGAGCTGACCAGGATCTTTGTCATGATCCCCAAAACCTTCTCAGAGGAAGACCTGAAGAACACTTTCAAGGTACGTTCACCCGCTTTTGTAGTTGCCACTTGTTGACCTGGTGTTCCTCATCAAATAAAGAGTTTGACCGTCTGTTGTGTCGCCTCAGGAGTACGGCGACATTGAATATTGCGTCATCATCAGGAACAAGCTGACGGGGGAGAGTAAAGGTTTGGGCTACGTCAGGTACTACAAACCCTCCCAAGCCGCCCTGGCGATAGAAAACTGCGACAAAGGTGAGACCGCTAGGTGGCGCTGCAGGCTGGTGTCTTTGACGCTCTTGTCTTCATTCATCACAAATGATTTTCTTAGCGTGATCTCTGTTTGCCGTGACAAATGATTGCCCCACATCCCGCCTTCTGTCTATGATCGGCTACGGTGCGGCGTTTTGGAGGACGCGCGTATTGACGTGCGTGACCTTGTTGTCAGCTTACAGGGCCATCCTGGCGGAGCCTCGGAACAAGGCCTCGTCCTCCGAAGACTACAACAGCATGGCGTCCAGGAGCGATTACTCGAGCGGCGCCGACTCCTTGAACATGTACCCCTTCAACATGGCGGCGCCGGCCGAGCCCGTCAGCTACCCCATGATGGACTACCGCACCAGCGCCGGCAGCGGTGGCACCGACTTGACCCGCTGCCTGATGGTGTCCACCCGCGCCGGGCTAACCCAGGAGCAGATCTTTGCGCTGTTTGACATCATTCCAGGGATGGAATACTGCGAGCTGCAGCGGGACGCTTACGGCATGAGCAAAGGTGGGCGATAGGGAGCTGGCCACATCCTTCCCGCCTCGTTGTTCACGCCCGTGCCATATCACAGAACTCTTTGTGGGCGGGGTTAGTGGAACAAACCCAAAACTACAAGTTTACTGCTTCATTGCGGAGCGGACGTTCAACCACACCTACAATATGGCAGCAAAGGTCTACTTTTGCCGAGATGAAGCTCCTCATTTCATTTCAGCATCAAGATGGCACCGGGTAGAACGCCACTGCTTGGGGGATTGATCGGGACTGAGCTCGATCGGGAATATTCATCATTCGTCGATAGCAGGAGTCACTCAGAAATTTGCGGAAACAACCCCGTTGTGCAACGTGATATCTTTTAATGTCTAATGGTGTTTGTTTGTTTTTTATTTGGGGGTGCGGGGGTGTTGCAGGTCACGCCATGATTCGCTACACCAACCTGGGATCAGCACTTTACGCCAAAGACAAACTGAACGGATTCGAGTACCCACCGGGAAATAGACTGGTTGTCAATTTTATGGACGACGGAGAAGATCGCAGCAGGTACGCCCACGCGCGCATGCACAGCGCCAACACGGAAACATTGAACTCAACCAAGATGGGCGACCCCCGCCTCCTTGGAGGGACAATGCATTGACATAATCACGCGCGTGTGTGCAGCTCAGTCGGTAGGATGGCCATGCAGTTTGTGGCCACCCAGATGATGTCATCGGTGTGGAACGGACCGTCCAACAGCCAAGGCATCAAACCTACCGCTTCTCATCTGGTACCTTTCAAGATCTCTTCCAGCCATCTTCAAGCGTGTGCAAAAATGAAGCCAGACGTGTTGAGTTTAATGAATGCTCTCCCCTCTCCCCTCTCGCCTCCCCCCTCCTCAGGGATTCGCCGGCCCTCCCGTGTCCCGGATCCAGACAGACGTCAGCCTGCCGCCCCTCAAGAAGCTGGCGCCCTCCGACAGCAAGGCCAAGGAGCGCTTGTTTGTGGTCTTCAGCCCTGCCCCACTTCCCGTGGATGTGCTGGAGGACGTTTTCTGGTAAAGACCCCCCCCCCCCCACATGGCGAATTATCCTTCAATATGGGGGGGAGAGGCCTTGTTCAGACTGCCAGCCAAAATCCTTTTTCGTAGCCCGAACAGTCACAAAGCTCATGAAATCCGATTTTCGCGAGATGGGTTGAAACCACATTGGGGAGGTAGTTTTCATTGCATCGCATTTGGACAGGATGCGTCTCAGTCTGAACACACACTGTGCGAGGGCACAAATCCAAAACCGGTCCATTTATGAAAAGCCGCCGTCACAGTTACATGCCGTCAAAAGAGTGCACGCACTGGACGATGCCTCCCCTTGCTAGCGCAACCGGTCTGCTGGATCAGTGGTGTGGCTCAGTCTGAACAGGCCCAGATTCCGTTTGGACACCATTGGACTAAAAACAGTCAGAACTAACAATCAAATTAGAGGTGGAATCTGATTCGGATCCCTTGCTGAGGGATGGTTCTCATCTTTTGAGCAATTTGATCAAAGTGGGCCGCTGTTTTTTTTTTTTTGTTGTTGTTGTTTGTAATTAGGTTTTTTTTTTTTTTTGTTTTTTTTTTGTAGCCGCTTCGGTTCCCTGATAGAGGTCCACTTGGTTCCAGGCAGGAAGGTTGGCTACATGAAGTACGCAGACAAGCAGGTAACAGTCTAGTCTGATGATGAACACAGCAGGGGAAAAAAAAAAAAAAATACGATTCCAAATGTTTGGTGTGTTTTCTTTTTTCTGTTGAGTGTGCTATGGACGCTTTGGCGACGCTCCACGGCCACATTGTCAACGGCGTAAAGATGAAGGTGATGCTTGCCGATCCTCCCAGAGAAGAGTCGCACAAAAGGCTTCGCACATACTAGCATGTCGCCACCTGGCAGGTAAGTTTTCCACTACGGCTGTTTTTGTTCCGACTACTTCCAACATCTTTACTAAACATGAAAGGAACATCAAGGGAGTAGCATGTAGCTAAGCATTTGCTAGTGGCCAAACAAAATGGCCGCAGCTGTTTCTCTTCATGTTCCAGAGGTCGGGAGGGAAACAAGTGAGGCAAAGTTGCCCAATGAACCACTGGAATAAAAGTCAAACAAAACTACTTGCTTGGACTTAAAAAGGTCATTGCAGGAGAACAAGAGGCAATACTGCCACCTGGTGGCGTTTTATAGCTTCATGCAAAACATCAACCTGACCAAATTTTACAGAAGCGGACTGCTTTCACTTTTGAATTCACGTGTTTTGGAGTGTTGTGCGTGAGTAACTGTGCAGCTTCTCGTTCCCCAGGCGACTGTTGTCATGACAAAACGACTCCAGACCTGACAGACCCGACGACCCACACGGACGGGAGAACTCTTGACACGACCTTTGACACCTGTCTGACCTTACAGTCTCGGTGACCTTGCCGTGACCTTCCGTGTGAGCTTTTAGAGGTTTAGTCCTCTTATTTTATTTCGTGTTTGTTTTTTTATACATATACTTTTCATAGTCAAAGTCTCATTTCAAACTGCTGTGAGATCTCAATCAGTGGGAAGAATCCACACGGCCGCAAAATCCCACATTTTGACGTGCTTACATGAAACAACGATGACGTTGGCAGTTAGACTCAAGGTAAAGCTTCTACTCGTTCCAATTTTTACTGCGCAAGTGGACGTCTGTTCATTTTTGAAATTTTACTAGTTGGTTTTTGTATGTTCAAATGTGTTCCCACTGTGAGAGCTTTGCAAGTCAAAATAAAAACAGCAGATCAACACGTCACTTTTGCTTCCCCTGTGTGGCTCCGGTGTTCCAAAATACTTTGGATGTCAGCATACGCAACTCAGCTCGGCTGCATTTTAGAGCCTGTTTCCTCCTCCGGAAGTAATCAACTAATTTCCGTATGGGAAGGGCTTAAATTCTCGTACACTTAAAATGGAAATTAGTTGACATGCTTTGCGAAAAAGGGACATTTGCACTTGAGTTCATCTGCAAGGAATGAAATACGCCTTTCTATTATTTGTGTGGAAGATGATGAAAGTTAACGCCGGGGAAAGACAAGCTTGATAGGATTATCAATGAAATGAAACCATTTGGATGCACAATATCTTTATTCCTGCTCAATGACGTCAGCGAACATAATTTACAGTCACATCACTCGCCTACTGGTTGCGAGGGGCCGCTGAGATCCAAGGCCCCTCGGCCTCCCGTTATTGGAACATGAATGAAAAAAAATGGAGGTTCGATACATTGTATGCGATCTTCTGTGGAGTTTTGGTACAAGAACAGACTGAATTTCTTAGAACAGAATCACTGCTGTTCGGTTCGTCCATCGCGTTTCCCCATCGCGCCGATTTCATTCGTTGCGGGAAGAGAAGCGCATTAATCGGAAGAGGGGGGGTGGGGCAGTCATGTGATGATGTGATCGGGCTTTCATTAGAGTCTCTGTGACTTAAAAATCAAAACTTCAAGTCTCCATGCATCCATCCGCGGGTCAGTCCTTGTTGTCGTCGTCGTCGTCTCTACGTCCCGCTCAGTCGTCCAGTGCCAGCGTGTTGAGCTCCTCGTCCAGCTCCTCCAGATCTTCCCCGGTGAACAAGTTCTCGTCCACGGGGACATCCCCGTCGCCCTCGTCGTCTTCCCCTCCTCCGGCCTCTCCGCCTCCCTCGGCCCCCGACGGCCCGTTGGCCTCCGAGCCGCCGCACGCTCCGTTTAGGTGTTCTGTTCACCAAGAAAAGGAGGGCAATGTCAGATTTTGAACGGAGCCCTTTGTTTCCATTCAAGTTGTCTCATGTTCATGGTTTCGAGCCTTCCATCACTGTTGGGAGTACTCATAAGTGCTCTCATTTTGGATTTGGTTTAACTGTTAGCCGCGTTCAATCAGCAGCTGAAAGTGCATCAGCCAACGTGCTCGCACCCTGATTGCTGCATTTGAAGTCATTCGTAAACTCAACATTTTGGCTTGCAACAGAGCAAAAAAATCAAGAGATAAAACAAGTTAAATAAATCCCACTCCCCTCTAAAATGGACTTGTAACTGTCAGCGCCGCTAAGTTGGGGCACTCTTGGGTCATATTACCACCGTGGCTCGGTCTTGTGGTTTTCTTACCGTTGTCCTGGTCCTTCTTTTGACTCTTACTGGCGGTGAAGCGGTCCATGGCGGCCACGGTGATGCCCGTGTTGTCCACTTCTTGCGGAACGAAGCGGGACAGGTCGATGTCCTGGACCTGCAAGGCGTCGGCCTAAAGCGGCACGCGAGACGAGGGGGACGTAAGCGGGTCGTACGTGCACACGTTTGAGCAAATGTGTCTTTGAAGAAGCAGACAAAACGTTGGAAGCGCCTTCCCATTGAACACGGGGTGTCCCTCAAGCCCGGACGACCGTGACCACGTGATGTGTGGTCTCTCGGCGCAACGAACCGTGCCCGCATCGCGTTTTGAGGCTCTCCATACAAAACGTTAAATTGCATGACTTTTTAGTCAAAGAAGACGCAAGACGCATCTTGCCGGTCCGTTCAACCAGAGCGCGTACGTTTTTCCAAGCTGTGCTGTTTTACCCACTGGCGAGTTTGAAATGATGGTGCTGCGACGGCAGCGTGTCCCTCGCGCGCCTCCTTCATTCCCGCGCAAAACGATTGTCAGCTACCGGGTTTAACTGTTGATCATCGCCAAACTTAATAGGAGGAATGTGGTTGGTGGAACTGAGCTTCGGATGCAAAAAGTGAAATCGTCGTCATTTCGCTACCAATCCCTTAAATGCTCACATCTCGATTTCGATACAGTTAAGATATCCATCAAAGCGCCACAATGACCTGTTCTTGATCGTCGTCCTCATCCTCGTCTCCCTTGTTGGCGTATCGAGTGTCGTCGGCTTCGTCGTCGTCGTCGTCCACGAGCTCTGGTCGGAACTCAAACACCTCGCGACCGCTTACCACCAGCGACTTCCCGGCTTTAAAGTCGGCCTTCTTCTTCTCCATTTCCTCCCTGGCTTTGGCCACCTGTGAGAGATGCCAACTCCCTTAGGTCTCGTCGTCAACCGAATCTCAGCGAGTCACCGCAGCGCGTTTTCCTCCCTGGCTTTGGCCACCTGTGAGAGATGCCGACTCCCTTAGGTCTCGTCAACCGCCTCAACCGAATCTCAGCGAGACACCGCAGCGCGTTCCCACCTTCTCCTGCCTTTTCCTCTTTTTCCACGCCAGGAATGTCTCCAGGGTGATGCGGGTCACGCTGGGACCGAGCGCCGCACGCTGGAAATCAGACGGGAACGTGAGAACTTTGAAAGGCTTCTCTCGGACAGGCTGATTGTGGCCTAAAATTCATATCAGTGTGTACATTCAATCTCGTCACGGCAACGGTATATCTCGAAGTATGACTGAATAAGTTACGACTTGCTAACGGTGTAGCGGTCCACTGGTGTGCGGGCAGCGTGGGATCGATTCTCACTCAGTGACGGTTGGGCGGAGGTGTGAACCGGTGCTCACCTGGGCGCCGGCCCGGAACAAAAAGCGCGCTGGAAAAGGGCCAACGGTGGCGCATCTCACCTCGCTCTCGATCAGCTCCTCCATGGAGATCTCCTGGTCCTTCTCCTCCTTCTTCTTGTCCTTCTTCAGCACAAAGCCGGGCGGCAGGGCGTGTCGGTACATGCATTCGCCGCCCCCTGCTGGGCACACCCAGAACCAGCCGTACTTGTTGTTCTCGATGGCGTCCAGGAAGAACTTGCACACCTGCCGCGGCGCGTGACAACTTCCTCAGCATCTTGCAAGAAAATGTTGCATTGCGATGACAAAAGGCTCCAAATCTTACGATCTGAGTTTTGGATTTCTTCTTCTCGGCCTCGCCGTGCTTCTTGTTGACCACCTCCTCCAGCTTCTTCTCGTCCCAGTTGTCCATGGTGTCTGTATGGCCCAGAAGCTCAGTTAGCTCGTCGTCATCCTCGTTCTACTCCTCTTCGACCGCTCACCTTTCTCCAGCTCCTCGTCCCGCTCGTCCACGTAGACGCTCCTCTTCTCGCACTTCCTCTCCATGGACAAGTCGTGGCTGAACTTGCACTTGTCTCCTTTGGTGCACTGGCCCTGCTTGTAGAAGGCGCACAGCACCGACTTGGGGTCCACACCTGAAAGAGAGCACGTGAGCCACAATGTCCAAGACGAGTGATGGGGGTTCACCCGTGTTACCTTTGTTGACTTTCTGGGCAGCGACGACCGGCTTGAAGAGCTCGTTGAGTTCATCCAACTCTTTCTTCTTGTCCGTCTTCTTGTTGGCCTTGTCGGCCTCCGCCTGAGCCACCTGCACACGCCAAGAGTTTAGGCACGATTGATGCAAAAAGCCAACGGTGATTTGTTTCTCGCTAACCTGTCGGGCGTTTTGTTGTCCATATTTGACTTGCTGTGTGACGTTCTTGATGAACTTCTGTTGCTTGGCACCTTTCTTGTTCTTCAGGCCAAACGTTTTGTCCTGGAACACAAACAGTACCTCGATGGTTAATTACAATCATTGGAAATGAAGACAGGGGGAAAAAAAAGATCTCTGTGTCAAAAAAAGAACTGTAAAAGCCCACTTCCTGAATCTCTTGTTGGAATTCCCACTTATTTAGTCAGATAAAAACATTCAAGCAATCTGGATGCGCACCTTTTTTCTTTCAACTGCTTTGCTGAGGTATCAGATCAGGACTCAATGCTTCAGCGATTCTCCGTTTAATCATTTGAAAGGATTTAAAGGAGGCCCATTTGCATGCTATCTTGTATCCTGAGTAGTAACCAGTAGCTTGTTCACCTGAGTCCGGGAGGTGTCATCTCTCAGCATTTACTTTTGTTGGAAGTGTTCCTATAGCCACCCATCAACTTTAATAGTACGAGACAGAAAAATACTCGAGTACGTGGCTCAAATTAGTTCGACCTGAACAACTGGAAAAGAGGACACGACGCTTCCGAGCCCCCACCGAATGTAGGGCGTATGTCCGATCCGAATACGCATTTTGCCGACATTATATAGACACGTGTCGGGTACTTGACACGCAGTATAATTGTTAGCTATGGCGTCGCGGCCAGCAGGTAGTGGTGACGTTGGCGAGCTAACGTTCAACGAACGGGGACCTCGCAATGTCCAGCGAGACAGTTACCTAGCTTCGCTCATTTGGAACTGCACTAAATCGCCGACTAATTTCAACTCACAGCCGTAACAACAGAAACGTGACGTCCGTTCCGTTGTCCGTGTGAGGTTCGCTCGTCTGCTAGCAGGCTCGCAACGACGGCTGGCCGCACGCCGACATGCTAACTCGTGATTCACTTTTTTTTTTACAATATATACCTCAATGATCTTCTCCTTCTTCTTCTCTTGTGTTTTTTTATTCCCCGCGGCCGGAGCCGGCTTCTTCGGAGGCATGTTGGCTCAACTCGGGGTCTGTTGTTGCGAAAGCCAAGCTTAAAACAATCGTGCAAATATCAAGATTTTTTTTTTTTAGCCTGCTAAACTATCGGCTTCGTGCTAGCCACTTGATGCTAACGCGGCACAGCAACGATGTCGCTCCACCCACACACGTGCTGGTGACGCATTGTAACTTGTTGCACGATGCATGACGGGTAATGTAGTTTATGACGAGTTGGCTACGTACTGCAGTCGTAATCAGACCGTATTCTGTCTCACTTTGGCGTTTTACACCACCGTTCAAAGGTTTGGGCTCACTTAGATTGTTATTATTATTTGTTTGTTTGTTTTTTGGGGGAAACACTTTTTTTTTTCAAACCAATTCAACAAGGAATATTTTCTAGCCATTATTAAGGCAGTT